CTATATCCTTAAAAATTGAATAATTGTTTCTCATTATTCAAAGTCATTCTTATTTCTTTATTATTTTATAATTATTAGGTACCTCAACTTTAGTATTTTCTTTATATAAATTGCTTGAAGTATGACATTAATCATAATGGTTATGTTAGGTTTTATACTGTAATCTAACATTAGAATCAATTTGATTCAATCAAAAAACTTTAAAGATTACATTGGTATTAAAATTATTAAATTTGGGTACTAGAGTAATATACCTAGTATTAATGGTTGAAATTGTCATGCAAGGATACATTTTTGTAATATAGGTAAATCAATACATTTAATACAAAAATTATCAAATTCAAAATTTGACGATAACATTCAATTTAATATAGTTCTATACTAATTATTTATAACACTCAAAATATTTGTAATAATATATTAGATTGATACAATTTAGTAAGGTTGATGAAACTTCTAATGCTCAATACGCAATTAGGTATATTTCTCCATTTCTTAATTGTATCTCTACAACAATCATTGGTATAAAGCTCAATTACGAGTTATAGAATAATTAACACTTCAATTCTTGGTTGGTCATCCATCCAACTGGAGGAATAGCATAACCGTAATACCACATGGCTTCTGTAGTGTCTACTCTGCCATATCATGCAAAAATAACACATGATCTTTGAGTTATCATTTGTAACACCAGTATAATATACGACAATAAAAAATGTTTTGAACTTGCAGATCGCCATGTCATGCCAGAGGTTCAAATGTATTTATTATGTCTTCACAATAATAATACATTCATCACAATGAATAAGTACATCTTCATATTTTCAGTTTTTCTATAATCAATAATATACATTACAATAAGTTGAGTGTTACAACAAATAATACACAACGTACTTAAATTAGAATAATTTATGGTACTATATAGAGAAATAAGAAGAAAAATGGAAATTTAAAAATATTTTGATAAATTATCAAATAGACTTCGAATGCACACAAGATGAAACAGATAACTAACCTAACGTAACCAAGTTTGTGTTAATAGTTAATTCAAATACACTAGGTAATAATATAGGTAGGTACCAAATAATTAAAAAAAAAATTTTTAATTCAAATTTGATGACTGAAATTTATAGGAAATTTACTTTGTATACGATAATTTATAAATTTTTATTTATTCAAGAAAAAAAAAACTTGGTATTGTATATATAAGATCTAGATTTATGATTATGCACTCGTTTCCGAGATAGAGTTATACAAATTTTAAATTATACCTATATACATTTGTACATATGAATGAGGATTTCACTACATTTATACATTTATAATCAGAATTTTGGTATCATTATAGAGAAAAGTAAGTGATGTATTATGTACATTATTGAATTAATATAAATAATAAATCAGGAAAAATTATGATTGATTGTACTATTTTTATTTACATTTTTACTGTTTATTTTTATCTATACTTTAATTTTTAATTTAATATTTCTATTTTAACTCTTTTGCACCACCACAAGCAATGCTTATTGGACTTCAAAATTAATCAAAATGTAGTTTATTTAATTAACTGTATACTATTGGGAAGTATGTTTGATAAAATAATAATAACAAACAATTTTTTTATAGATTTTTAACCAACAGTGCTTTTTACATTATAATTACATAATAAATGGTTTTCACATTGTAGGACCAATTGTTGATTAAATGAATGAATCATGAAGCAACTTATTTGATTACAAACATTAACATTGCCATTGAATATTACAAAATTTAAAATTTGTTGCATCCCCAATCATTATAAATCATTGTAATAATAATAAGTTAAGTATTCTATTCTTATAGTCACTTTTTACTAATTTTAGGAGAATCGGTACAAATATTAATGTCGAAAATTCTAGTCTTATTTAGTTTAAATGTATTATTATTGAATAATGCAAAGGGAAATAATATGAATTAAAATGTTAGCCAGTTAAAATGGGCATTTTATAAGTCGTTAAAGCAGAAAACAAATATTACAAATGTATCAATGCAGGCCCGAAGAGCACTGTAGCATTGAGGTGATGATGGAATAAGTATGATCCGCGTGTCACATAAAAATCCAAAACATCAACAGCACGACTAAAGTTAGTTCAGTTGTCCAACCAACTATAATAAGAAAGAATTGAATGGGACTCATAGTTTCTCATATTCTAAACCATACTCTAGAACTTTTACTAGCACTAATAGGATATAAATTAAGTACCTACTATTCATCAGAATCCCAAATGGTTCTGTGATAATATCCACAATATTTTCCAGAAAAAATGCATGAGTATTACATAACACAATTAAAAATATAATAATTTGTATAATTGTGATTATGTGCTATGTGATCATGAGTGTTACAATTTAAAGTACCTATATTTATTCAATATCATGGTGTATAAATTGTTTTTTTTTTTTTTTTTAAGTAAATTAAACTTACACAATAAACAACCGGCTTGAGATTTATATGTCCATAATTATAATCATCAAAATTAATTGCTGTCCCTAAGTGTACTGCTAGAAAAGAAAAATCTACTTTTGGTATGCCAAAAAATGAAAACCTAAAGTAGCAATGGACAAAAAATCTTGTTAAAAGCAATTTTCAAGTGTGTGCTGGACAATTTCACAAAAGTGATATAATTAAAACTTGGGTTTCAAATATTCTGTAAGTATATTATATAAATGTGAATATAAAGTTACTCAAATATTTAACATTGATTGTATATCCTAAACTCAAATTATAGATTTTCCTGGAAATACCAAAACTGCGACGAGGTGCCATACCCAGCAAATAACAACTTAATATTCAATGAATCAAAACATAATCAATCATCAGTTATAGTACATTACTTTTGAACAAAAAATGAATAAGTCCTTACAAGACCTTGAAAATATTATCAGTAAATTTGATCAAATAAAAATTTGTACTAGAGCTATCCTTCAATGAGTTATCAACTATAAATTTAGTGTCTGGAAACAAACAGTAAGTGGAAAGCTATAGTAAATGGCATCATAACAACTGTTTAAACATCTTATAAGACAATATAAGGTAATTCTAAATTTAAAATATTACACTTAATAAATATCAATAACACTATCATAAAATATTAAATATAACCAAAGCTATGTTATATAATAAACTGTTTGTGATATGTGTTTATGGTACAAGTGGATACTGTTTTGTATTAAAAAGAATGCAGCAAAATTTTCAAATGTAAATGATAAGAACTTTTATTTCTCCCAACAAAAAAAGAACACTAAATAATATTTAAAAGTCCCAGAAAATATTGTTGAAGAAGTGTTACAGGGTAAAAAAAAAATAAATAAATTATAGCAAAACTTGATTAACTGTAAAAATAAAATGAAAAACCTAGGTTGAAGAATTTTAAAAACAAGAAATAGAATAAAAGTTAGATGTCTCTTCATCATATCAGGTCTGTAATAATTAGTACTATTTTTACAAATAACTATTAAACTTTTTTGCCAAACAGTGTGTAAACTGATGACATTTTTATTTCATTTTAATTAGGTCACCGATTGGATACATGTTATTAAGAGACCAAAATATATTGCCTTTGCCGTGAGTTAGTTGATAAAGTTGGTTGCAGCTGTTAAGTTGGTTGTTGACATTAGATTTTTTAACTGTTGAAAAAAAAATTTTCAAAGAAGGCTGAAAGTTGGAATACTTTCTTTGGAAGACATCTTCTTTTAAGAGAAAGCATAAATGTAAATATATTATAATGGATTGGAACATTTCAATCATGGGCGGACCCAGGGGGGGGGAAGTCAGCTGACCCACAGTTTTTTTCTGAGGTTAATGTGTCTCCTCAAAATGACAAACTACATAACATTTTTTTATTTGAAAAAAATACCTATATACAATAATCAATATGAAAATTAAATTAAATATTAATTATTTTTAAAATGTCTGGGTCAAATTTAAACAAATACCTAAGTACCTTTTATTTGTTTTATGTATTTTATAATTTTTACTATAAGGCTTACCAAAAGACTGGTTTTGTTTAATTACTAAGAAGTTAAATTTTTCATTATATACCTACATATATCTGAGTCACATTTAAACAAATACCTAAGAACCTTTTATTTGGTTTATGTATTTTATAATCAACGCAGGTTTCAATCAGTTTGTATTTGAAGTGTTGAAGTTAAAATCAAAACATATGTCTAATGAATCAAAACAATGTGTTATGTGCATTGATGAAATGCCACTTAAATCTTTTGTTTACTATCATACACGGCCTTCATGATACTTCATTAATAAAAACTGATGAATTAGCTAAATCTGTCATGGTGATCATGATCAAAGGTTTAAATGACAAATGGAAGCAACCATTAGCATTTTATTTTGTGAACACTAGCTGTGTTGGCAATGATTTAAAAATTATAATATTTAACTGTATTAATACATTAGAAAAAATTTCATTTAATGTTAAGTTTTAATTTCTGACCTTGGTTCCAACTTTAAACGTTTTGCAACAACATTATAGGTATATCTCCTAGTAAACCATACTTCAATATAGGTACTTAAGAGATTATCTTTATGTTTGATCCTCCCACTAGTCTTGTTGAAAGCTACAAGAAATATTTTTTTTTCATATAAATTTCAATCTGGTAATAAAGTAGCAAAAAAAATTCACCTTCAAACCTTGTTTAACTTAGAAAAAAATTCCACTACACCCCTTGCTCCAAAATTAACTGAAATCCACTTAAATCCTTACTCATTCCAAAAGATGGGGGTGAAATATGCATCTCAAGTAATGAGTCACAAAGTTGCTGCTAGTTTAGAAACTTTGTTGTCTTCAGGAGTACTGTATTTTGGGGATACTTTGGACCACACATGGTAACATTGCACCAAAAAAGAAAAAAGTAATTTTACAAATATCTCGTTAACAATTAATGATTGAAAAATATAAATGTTATCATTTTGTTCCTGATACTGTTAAATGTCTTTTGAAATGGTTCTAACTTCCATATGTCGATTTCCCTCCAAATCATGTACAAAACTTCCCGTTGAAGAAGAGACGTTGATCAGGAATATCTACAATTTTATACACCAGAGTTATAAAAGGCAAACTGAATTTCAGGAATTCCAAATATTTTATGATTTAAAACCAAATAAGTTGTTACAACCATCACAAACTCGTTGGCTATCAGTCAATGCTGCTGTAAAACGTGTTATAGAGCAGTTTGAAGCATTAAAGGCATACTTTGCACTACAAAATTTTGAAAATGATAAGTTGGCTACCTGTGCTTGTAAAAATATTTATAAATGTTTAAATAATCAAATTTATAAACTCTATTTTGAATTTCTTGAATATATATTACCTGTCATCACTGATTTGAATGCTGAATTTCAATTGGAAAAACCGAAAGTATATATTTTATACTCACGTAAAGCTGAAACGTACAAATTCATCCTGAGCTGTTACATAAGAGACAATATTTTAAAATCTATTGACATATCTAAACTACAATACAGAAATCCTGTTAATTTTAAACCAAATGAGGACATTTATTTTGGACCAACCATATGCTTGTTGGACATACACACATGTCTGCTGATGGAATACATGGTAATATAGAATCTAAGATTAGAAGGAAAGGGAAAGTTTTTGACTTTCAAGATCTAGTTAACACTATTGAAGGATCCAGAAACAAAATTACAGTGTTGCAATTGGATAAGTTTTGTGGATGGAAAAATAAAAAGAAGACAACAAAACAAAAAGATGACCCTTTAACTAATTTTAAGATGACTAATATTGTACAGGCTCGATTTGTTAAAAATTCCTTCAATTTAGGCTATAAGAATAGTTTTGAAGATGATATAAGAGAAATTAATTTTTTACAAAAAAGTGCCTAAAGAGAAGTTGGGAGACGGTCATTAAGTAATAATACCCAACGGGGTATTCCTATGAAAAAAAAAAAGAAATTGTTAAAATACTTGTACCTTTAATGCCCCGAAACCGACAACCGTTTTGGAATGAACTACCAGTGTCAGAAAGTTCACTAGACTTGGTGCATCACGAGGAGTATGACATTAGTACATCGTTAATTTAATAATTGTGTTAAACATATCATTATGTTGTTAATGTTGGGGAGGTACCCATATAAGTGTTATTTATTTTAATCATGTTAAAAATATTATTATGTTGTTAATGTTGGGGAGGTACCCATATAAGTGTTATTTATTTTAATCATGTTTAAAATATTATTATTATGATGTTAATGTTAGGGAAGTACCATCCTTAATAAGTGTCATTTTTATTGATTTGTTTTAATACAGTTTTTTTTCTTTACTGTTATTATGTGTTTTACTATTTTCTGAAATCTAAATATGATGTACTTAGTAAATCATTAAAAAGTACTTTTAGCTTTTTAAATCATTATACTATAGTAATTAGTAAGTAAATAAACTTCCCTGTAGCCAGTTCCAGAACATTGTTTGAATCTAAATATTATGTAAGTTTAAAAAAAAAAGTTTATGTAAAATCAAAAACATGAATTAAAAATCAAATTTAGTAAAATATAAACTTTACATGATGTGACCCGGCTGTGTTTATTGTTAGTTTTCAGTATAACAAAATAATTGCTCACAAAATATAAAAAACCATAAAAGTTAAGTTACCTTACTGCGTTTTTTTTTTTTTTTTTTTATTGATCGGAAATGCAGTAACTAAATAAGAAACACAGTAAGATCACTTACTGTGTTGTTAATTTTTTTTTCTTATGTTTCGTAAATGCAGTAACCAAATAAGAAACACAGTAAGGTCGCTTACTGTGTTTTAATTTTTTTTTTTGATGGTTCGAAAATGTAAAAGCCGTATTATATAACACATTTTTCAAGTTTACACAAGGACTATTATTAGATGAGACAAAATTATTAATAAATTAAATATTCAATACTTCTTTGCTATCTGAAAATAATAATTTCATTCAAATAAACGCCATCTATGTGAAATGCAGAGCAACTTCACTAAAAAGTCTCTCCTGGATAATTTTGTGAAATACACTTACCGTGTTTTAGGAATAGACAGCCGCCCTATCCTCGTACACCTTTTATACGAGAATTCCAACAACATTATGGTAAAATATTTTATCATGGTATTATCTATGATGAAAAAGATAGATAACCATAACTTACCATTTTGGGTTACCTACCAGTTACCATGGGTATAGTGAATAATACTGTGCACGAGAAAATACGTTCTATTATTAACATGCTTCATGCTTGGAACATAATTAGGTATTACACAAAATAATTCAAGATTGTCTCATTGTGTCCGTTCCCACTTCCCACTACCCACAACTGTACCTGTTACTATAGTTATTAATTATTATAACTATAAAAATAGCACCATAAACCCCTAATCATGCAAAATATATATTCATAATATAATATAATAACATAATATAATTCATAATACAAAATTGTCATTGTGTATTAGTGTCGTTAATTAAAAATATGTGTAGTGAAGAAGAAGATATCAATTTAACACCACCCAAATTAACAGTTAAAAAACAAATAAAACACAGGGCACAGAAGTTTCGGTCAGAATGGCTTAATGTTGAAGAATTAAAAAAATGGTTGTGTCCTGTTAATGACGATCCCTTTAAAGCTGGTAGAGTGCAGATAAAGCAAAGTGTAAATTATGCAATTGCACAATGGTCGCTGAGTTGACGAACATTAAATCACACGGTAAAGGGATTAGTCACAGGAAAATTGTAGCTTGTAAGGAAATTAAAAAAAAACCATGTAAAACAGTAGCATCTTTTACTACAAGTAAAACTGATTTGAAGTTTGATGTTGAAGTTAAGTCGGCAGAGATCAAACTAACAGCGTTTATAGCAGAACATAACATAGCATTTTTAGCTGCAGATCACCTTGTTGATCTTTTGAAAAGTTGTTTTCGTGATTCAAACATAGCTAAAAGTCTAAAAATGAAGAGAACAAAAGTAACTGCCATCACAACAAATTTTATTGGAGCAGCTCAAAAATATAGTTTGACACAATACTTAAAAACTGTCAAATTCAGCATACTGATTGATGAGTTTACCGACATAGGTACTATAAAGACATACTGCGTTGTGCTGAGGTAAATAAATTGCATATAATTATTTACTTAATATTTTTTTTTAATAATAGAAAACAGTTATTAATCTTTATTATTTTTAAAAGGTTTTTTGATAAAAATACCGGAAATATAGAAAGCAAGTTTTGGGACCTTTATAAAGTTTACAATTCTAAAAATCCCGGCAAAGCTACAGCTGAAAAGCTATTTAATGGGTTATTAGAATCACTTACATCTCATAATATTCCAAAAAGAAATGTAATTGGTTTTGGCAGTGATGGATGCAATACAATGATGGGTGAAGGTGAACATAATTCGGTTGCATCTCGAATGCTTAACGAATTTCCAGGAATTTTCATTATGAAATGTGTTTGCCATTCAGCACATCTGCTAGTGAGGCTTGTCGACATCTTTCTCGCAGTTGTGAAGATATTTTTTTAGTGATACGAGAATTTCATTGAAAATACGAGTTTGATAACCTCAATACGAGAATACCTGTTTGAGAATCTGGCAACCCTGTTTCCAACTAACATTAAACTAAAATAAGTAATAACCAAATAAAACAAAAGTCATAACTCTTAACTCAGAAGTCATGTCAAAACTTTTTGAAAGCCACACTGGTGATTACCTTGGACAGATGTTAAACAAAACTCTTGCAGAATGGAATATACCCAAAGAAAATATAGCAGCTGTTATAACTGATAGTGGTGCAAATATAAAAAAAGCAATCACAGATTTATTTGGAATAAATAAGCATATTTCTTGTTTGGCACATACAGTGAACCTTATTGTAGAAAAGTCTATAGAAAAAACACAAATAGAAAATGCAATTACCAAAGAAAGAAAAGGTGGAGTTCCAGAACTAGTTGGAAAAGTGAGAGATATAGTTAAATACTTTAAAAAAAAAAGTACTAAAGCAAGCGATGAGTTGAGAAAACGTCAAAAATTAGAAGGTACCTTACTTATCTTTATTATAGTTAAGTTACTTTTTATATTATAACTATTAATATTATAGGTGTAATATAAAGCTGGGAAAGTTATAAACAATATTTTTAACTACCTAGTTTTAGTTAAATTATCCTAAAAAATAACTAATTTATTTTATAGTATTCTTTTTATTTAACTAGTTGAGAAAAAATTTTGAAAAAAAGTAACTTGTCTCTTATGTTTTTACTATTACTATCCAGAGCTTGTATAATATCATTTTTAATTTTATAATTTCATTGTTTCATATTATATTATTTCCATTTTGTAATTTGTAATTTTTTTAGGGACAAAAGAAGGAAAATATTTAAAACTAAAACTTGATGTACGTACCAGGTAGAACAGTGTATTCTATATGATTGAACGATTTCTGGAGTTGTCTAAACTTTTATCGGATATCCTTTTAACTAGGACAGGGACAGATGTACCAGAAATGGCCACTGCTAGAGAACTAAATTGTTTAAAAGAAATTTGTTCAATAATACAACCAATGGAAGTGCTTACAAGAGAACTGTCTGTTGAAAAGTATGTAATGTCAAGTAAAATAATACCCTTGATTTTTTGCATTGAAAGTCAAATTGAAAAACTACCTTCTACAAGTGACATGGCCAGAAAACTAAAAATAAAGTTATTAGAAGAGATTACTTATAGATGTGGTAAAATAGAACAAACCCATTTATTGCCAATATGTACATTATTAGACCCCAGATTTAAGGATATGTATTTCAAAGATCCATTAGCAAATTCCAAAGCACAAGAAAAGATTCTTCGAATGATAAAGGCATCATCTGAAGTAACTTCAAACTTACCAAGTACAAATTCAACTTCCACAGAGCAAACAATAACACCAGAACCTAATTGTGACAAATTTGATCTTTGGAGTCCACACAAACGCCTACTTGAGGTACAAAATAAGAAATCAAGAACAGGATGTCAATGTAATAATAAATAAATATTTAACTAATAACTATGTTCCTTGGTTAAATATAATATTTGTTTGATTATTTCATTTTCAGATAGAGATGAACTTCGTACATATTTGGAGGGTAATGCTATCCTTCGGAAAGATGACCCGATGATAGAATGGGAAAATACAAAAACTATCTATCCAGAACTTTATAAATTGGCAAGAAAATATTTATGTATATCTGCTACGTCTGTTCCATCTGAAAGACTTTTTAGCAAGGCGGGGGCAACAGTAAGCCAGTCAAGAAATAGACTTCTGGGATCAACATTTTCTAAGCTTTTATTCCTGCAGTCATTAGATGAAGAGTATTGGACACTTTAATTTTTTATGTATATGTTATGTTATTTACACAGGTATTTTTTTTTTGTTTTATTGAAAGAACTGACAAAATCCTAAATTGGCAACAGTAGGTAGGTGCATTTGAAATTATAATAAAAATTTAATTTTTCAATAACGGGCACCAGACATTTTGGTATGGGAAGCTACCCACCCAACCTATATACTAGAACCACCACTGGTGATACTCATGGTATGTTATGAAATATTTTTGAAATCAGGTCTGGTAGCCAACGTGTTAAGGCTAACTCAATATACAATTATTGAGCTTCTACAATACTAGTACATCGATATTTGCATTATCGATATATCGGTTTTATAGTTCAAAGAATATTATTATATCGATATTTGCATTATCGATATATTGATTACTTAAAAAAATTGCGCATCCCTAGTCATTCAGTAAATATAAACCTCGATATAAACTTATATTAACTGAAAGAAATTAACCGAACTTTATTAACATGTCTTCAGAACACATGGAGCAGTATATTGTTATAAATTGTTTGAACACCTAATATTATTTTTTTATTTAACTATTTTATGCAATATTATTTTATTTTTTGAATTCATAAGGCTGAATTATTTAAGTTTACATTGTTTTAATACATAATATTATTATGTTATTCAACAATATACAATACGTTTTTGTTTTTATTATTTAAAACATGTTATTATTATTGGTTGAGTTCATAAATCTGAAGTTTAGGTATGTAAATATGTGTTACACTCATACATCTAAAATACAATTAAACAATATAAGTACACTAGTATATCATAATATTACCTATAGCATATAGGTTAAATATGACTGTTTGAATATTTTTTTTAACGATTAGGATAAATTTAACTATCTTATACATTTTATAAACTATTACTTTTATTTGTTTTTTCAGTATTTAATACATTTTTACGAAAAAGAATATTTTTTCATAAAAGAATAGGTATTTTTGCATATTAAAGAATATTTTGATAAAATTATAGAGCATAGAAACATCTTATTTCTAAGGTTTTAAGTGCATATAAATCCGGTCTCTAGTTATAACACTTAAAATTGAATAAAGGATCTAATGACCCTACACTTGTCATTAACGCCACGTAGGGTTCTAAGATCCATCACATATTTTATGTGTGCATTCATTTCAGGTAAGAAAGTTAATCAATAGTTGATATGTAATCAAAATTGATAGCTGTCTTTCTTCTCCCTGAAATGTAATAAAATGTTTAGACAAACCTACTGAATTTAATAAGAATCATTTTGACAAGTCATATGAAAGGTCAATAGACACTACATGGCGCTTAACCTGTTAAATACCTAAATTAATGCATTCAACAAATAACAATCAACAATCTATACAATAGGTAGGTATAATAGTTACAACGAGTAATAACTGCTTACTTGTGGAGCAGAATCGCTCAGCACCGCGAGATAACTGGAATGGATGTACATTAGAGCCGTATTATGGTCAAGACTCCTAATAGCTCTAGATCCAAAACAGGGCGATTTTATCCATTTGAATCGAGAAAACTGATGACTGAAACCATATTAAAAAAAAAGAAAAACACAGTTAAACGCGGACCAAATGATGTTGAACCTCGTGTTGAACCTTTAGGCAGTGTCCTACACCAATCCGACGAAAATAAAACAGCTTGTGTTTCAAAAACATCGTACATCGCATTTGTTTTTAGTGAGACGGAACTGCACGAGGAACTGCATGATTATAATAAAAATTATAGACATTAAAAGAAAAGAATATAGATCAAATAAAAAGAAATCACAGGACTCGATGGATTAACGCGCTTCAGACCTGTACGCGGAGAATAATAATTAAGCAATTAGTAAAATATTTACCATGATTTGACGATGGTGAAAACTGCGATGCAACAAATTGTACCAGGTAGCTAGTATAGTCAGCGTAAATAATTATTTAAAACGTCATATAATACCGTAATTATCGTAAATACAATGAACAATGAACATTAATATTTAAAAACCGGTAAGAAAAAGAAAACACGGAAGACGGAACATTCAAGTGACTTAAAAAACACATGGTCCGAACGGACGCCACAGCCCGCACGCAACAAGTAGGTCACCCCCGCATACCACGACAAATGACCAAACAACGTGGCGAGTGGCGACGGACGACAGTCCGTCACTCCGACAGTCCGACAGGGTGGAAATGTGCAATCAGCGCTAACAGGCGGCAGTTGTGGAAATAAAATTATTGTTTATGTCACAGATATAAAATACGCAGATATTTTATATCTGTGGTTTATGTATTTATGTTATCAGTTTTATGTGCACGTATCGGTGCGTTCTACCCACGATTAAAGATATACAGGTTAGATAACGCCGTATTCAATTTTACGCCCGTCCGCGGTCCGAAAGTGTTACGGTTCATTAGTACATATTTAAACCACATCTATAAAGCGCTAGTAGTAGGTAGGGCTATTATTGTATTAATAATATTTAGATTTATACAGGCATCTATAATATAATATATCATTATAATAGTAATAATATAATAAGTATAATAATTTATGTTCAATTTTTTTATTTAATGCCTCGAAGTTTTGTACTGTAATATTGTAGTATGTAACGAGTGTAACAGTTAAATAATGCCTCGTACGTGTTGTGTGGTTGGGTTTTTTACATTATGCTTTTTCATTTCCATGCAAAGAACATAAAAATGACATAGTTACATCCATTCTAAGCAACTATATTGTAATGCGAATGCGTCATTTTGCAGTTCAAGATAATCGCCAAGAAAATAAAAAAAAGCAGAGAAAAGAAAAAAATAGCTAAATTAATTTCTACATAAAATTAACTAAAAACTTTTTATAATTTTGTTTATTATTTTTATGACCACAAAGTTGTAGGTCAAGGTTTATTATAAATAGCATTATTTAATAAAAATTGTATTGTTTGGTTCATTTTAAATTTGCTATTGCAGAATTGGCTTGTTGCAGATGCAGTATGGATACCAAAAAAATGTGAAACTTGTTACAAAAATTGTGATTTAACCTGTTACATATTTATAGGTACATAACTTTTTTGTTTTAGGTTTGATGAAGTTTAATGTAATTGAAGAATCAATAAGTTAAGTGTATATTTTACAAACGAGAAATCAAGGCTGGGCTAGTTATAACCAAAATTTGTATAGTTTTATTTCTTATACTAAAATCATTAATTATAAATACTACCTAGTCGTATATCTTTAATCGTGGTTCTACCACAGAACAATAGTGGTTCTAACTTCTAGTGTCGGCGGACGCTTATCAGGCATTCGTGTGCGACCGGCCTGCTCTGTGGAGTCATTATCAATGTTTTCGTTATATTTGCTTATGTTCAAAACTTTAAGTTGTTTTTCGTGTAGTCATGCTTTCGCCTTTCAGTGTCATAAAGTTTATAGTTTTTCCAGTTTTGGTTATTGTTTTAGTGTGGTGACACCGAAAGACCGTTCGTTTTGTGTTTTTTGTGCTCGTTGCTGAGCAGTTTAAGCAACGTCATGGTTGTTACATCATTTTTGTCATGAGTTGTTTGCAGTCGTCCCAAACCACGTTGTTGTGAATTTGTGATTAAGTTTCTGGTAATTATCGTTCTCAGCACTTTTTATTGCCATCACTAATTTTTTGTTCCCACTATAGGGTGGTCAAAATTACCAGAGATTTGTGCTGTGATTCAACGTGATTTGGTGTACCTCGTTGCTCGTGGGGACATTAGTGCGACACTAGAGATCCTGTTCTGGCTGCATTTAGTGTGTTTTTGTTAGTGAAGTCATCGTCAACAGTTGCTGGCACACATTCGCACGTAAGCAGGATCAATTTGTTTTTTATTGTAACTTACAGGCCCTGGTATGGTAACGTGGGTGTAAAACCAGGTGTGTGTCTCAACTGTTATGTGAGTATTGGTCGACCAAATATGTGTGTGTGTATGACCAATGAGTCCTTAAGTATTATATATTATATTATTATGTTCTGGTAGCCGTTAAGGCTTATTATTTATCATTTATATTCCGTTAGTATATTACAGCCATTCAGGCCTTTGTTCAATTATATATTATTATTCATCATAGTTCATTGTATTATAGCCAAAGAGGCAATTGAAATTATATTTTATATTTTTATTGTTATTAATTATTATTATTGTTGTGCCAAACAGGCAATTAAATATTTATTAAATTATACAGTCCACATTATTTTATATAATGACAAGGTTGTTTATTATTATTTTGGTCACCTTATGCGTTAACATTTTGGTCCTTCGAACTGGATTTTAAGTTGAATTAGTAATCAGTATAAAATATAAATTTCATTAATTTGTGTAATCATCTTTTATATTTTTATTGTAAAATAAGCACACTGTGCATCATTCCCAATATTGTAATCTAGGTCACAATTATGGATATCAAATAGGTGACATTGGAGTTGATCATTCATTCCAGTTTAAAGGCGATGGCCACATTTGCCAAGCAGTTCAATAGTGAAACAAACAATCTAAGCCAAATAAGATTACGCTTAGAGGAGCTTCCAAGTATTTCAGAAAAATTTTCAGAAGTGCAGTCAGTAAGAGAAGAACTTGATCAAAAAGCAGATGAAATAGTAATGGATGAACGAGCAAGATTTAGAGAGAGATTATATGAAGTCAAGGCCTCATTATTACATATTATATTGGAAGCTGAAGAATCCAAAAAATCAGAAGTAACCAGTCCGTCCTACAGCATCACATCCAATCATGTAAATAACAATATGATGAAACTACCACCTATTGAACTCCCTAAGTTTAGTGGTGATTGGAAAGAATGGACATCATTCATAGATTCCTTTAATGTTTACTTCCACAACAACAAAGATATGGCACCGGTTCATAAGTTGCATTTTCTTAAGGCTTGTTTTGAAGGGCAGGCCAGTGATATTGTCAAATCTATACCAACTTCAAATGAGAACTATGAGCAGGCCTATGACGCAGTAACAGCAAGGTATGAAAACAAAGGAGCAATTATTCAATCACATATTAGAACATTATTTGACACTCCTAAAATTGCAATAGCTTCAGTAATAGAGTTGCAAAGACTTTATCATCACATTAGGTACTTCAAATATAAATGCATTACAGGCATTAGGTCAACCGGTTGAGAGCTGGGACGCTTGGTTGGTCACATTAATATGCAACTGAATAGATAGAGTAACCTTCGGAGAATGGCATGTTCAATATAACAAGAAAGACCTACCAGAGTTCAAAGAAAGAAATTTATTTTTATTTAACCATATTGCTGCCTATGAAGCAGATGAAGTTAACATTGGTGCATCATGCATTAAACAGAATGTGGTAAAGTCCAGTAATAAATTTCAAGAAAAAATGTTTTTTTTGCTAAACCTGCAGACAAGGTAACTACATCATACAAATGTCCTTTTTGCAATGAAACTAATAGGTTATATCAATGCAAAGATTTCAATGATTTGAAAGTACCGAGAATTTATTTCAAAGAATCGGTTATGTTTCAACTGTCTTTACTCTAATCATCAAGCACAAGACTGCAGGTTCTCGAGTTGTCAAAAACATAATTTAAAATTGCATTTAAATCAACAAACTAGTAGTGAAACGGAGCCCATTGCAAACACAAGTGCTCTATGTTTTAGTAAGGGTATAGCACAGTCAATGCATGCTTCAGGAGACATGGTCATGTTGGCCACAGCCGTTGTGTACATTAATGATGCAGCTGGATATCCTCAGCCCTGTAGAGCACTACTGGACTCACTAGTTGGTATCAACTCAATGAGGTCAGATGCACAGAAATTGCAACCAGTTGTTATGTATTCTAGGTTTGAAAATTTCAACGTTTCACTAGACCTTCATGTACTTCCTTCAATCGCCAATGATATGCCATCTCGATTAATACGTTTAGATCAGTCAAATATTCCGGATATTGTTAATGAACAATTAGCGGATCCAAGCTATGATACACCAGGCAAGATAGATATACTACTTGGTGCAGAAATGTTTTACACACATTTCAGTGAAGAAAAAGTTGCCATTACAAATAGTTTAGTGTTTCAGAAAACCCCACTTGGATGGGTTCTTACTGGAAGGGTATTAAATAGTGAAGTTATACAGTCTAGGTTTTCTGCTTGTGCTTGTGCTAATGATGCAACCATAAATTCAGCGTTTTCACTATTTATCAGTAAATCAAGTGTTCGTTAAGATGAAGAAGATGAAGCTAAACAGCATTTTAAGAAGACACATTACATAGATGATTCAGGGCAATTAGTAGTTAGCCTTCCGTTAAATACTAACTCAACTCGCTTGGTGAATCTAAAAAAATGGCGCAACGACGATTTTGTAACTTGGACATCTAAAGACAGGGAAGCATGCATAGCCTACCACAAGTTTATGTCAGAGTACTTAGACATAAATCACATGGAACTGGTAACTAATGATGATTTAAATAGTCAAACATATTATTTGCCTCAGCATGCTGTCATCAAGGAAGACAGCATCACCACAAATTTAAGAGTTGTGTTCGATAGATAAGCTCCAACAAGTTCCGGGCTATCCCTTAATGATGTCATGTTAAAAGGACCTATAGTGCAATCCTCCTTGTTTTCAATACTGTTACGATTTAGAGTACATAAGATAGCATTAACCGCAGACATTGAGAAAATGTACCTTCAAATACTAGTAACTCCAAAAGACTGTTAATTACAACGAATTTGGTATCGTCCAAGTCCCTCTGAACTGTTAAGGGAATATAACCTTGGCACAATCACGTACGGTACAAAATCGGCTCCCTATTTAGCGACCCGTGGCCTGGTGGAGGTAGCTTTTTCAGCTCCAAGTGAAACTGCTCAAAGAGCTATTAAAGATGATTTCTACGTAGACGATTTACTTACTGGTGCTGAATCTTCAGACGAATGTTTCCAGCAATACAAATATGTTTCAGACACATTGGCGTCTCGTTGTCTACCGTTAAGAAAATGGTGTACAAGCTCTTCCGAAGTCCTGAGTAAATTACCAAATTCTTGGACCGATCCTAATCATGTTTTACAACTTAGTGAACAAGATGCTGTCAATACTTTAGGTATAATGTGGCAACCCATAACAGATTGTTTTTGCTTTACATTAAAGCCATGGAATCCACCCAAAAAAAATTACTAAGCGCACATTACTTTCTGACATTAATAGGCTTTACGATCCATTTGGTTTCCTAACCCCACTTCTTATAACTGGAAAAATCTTTGTTCAACAGTTATGGGTGTTGAAGATTGATTGGGACTCTACATTACCCAACGACATGCAGCTTCAGTGGAAAAACTTTTATTTATCTTTGTATGCTTTGGATAAATTAGCCATTCCGCGTCGGCCATTGTCAAGTAGTCAGTTCAACATCCAGCTTCATGGATTTTGTAACGCCTCACAGGAGGCGTACGGAGCATGTGTTTACGCAAGAATACAGAATTCAAATGGAGAATTCGAAACATCACTATATGTTTCAAAATCAAGGGTAGCGCCACTTCGTGCGACCACTATACCCCGGTTAGAACTCTGTGGTGCTATACTACTCAGTGATTTAACTACAGAAGTCATTTCTGAATTGAAAAAATTGAATATAAGCCTACATCAACGTGATGTTGTACTATGGTCAGATTCAACTGTCGTCATCGCCTGGATAAACAGCACTCAGCCACTTAAGTCTTATGTATCAATAAAATTGCTCAAATTTTAGACCACACTGATAAAACACAATGGAATCACGTGCCCACAGATTGTAATCCAGCTGATATTATAACAAACAGTTGATAATTTACAACAGTGTTCAGTGTGGTGGAGTGGTCCACACTGGCTATCAAAGCACCACACTTCATGGCCTACACGTACGTCGTACACAGCCAATTTTAAATGAGATAGCTGAAGTACGACCTGTTAAATTGTTGCTTCAGGCATCTGCTCAGCCGGTAGTTGATTATCCGCTCAACAAGTTTTCTAAATGGAATGGAACCATATGGTACTCGTCACAGCGTACATGTTGCGTTTCATATCCAACGCAAAGGAAAGAAAGAACCAAACACCTAACTGTCAAACAGTTGTACTCACTGTTAATGAATTGCAAAATGCTAGGAATGTGTGGCTTTGTTACACCAAGCACAATGCATTTAGGTCTGAATTAAATTCCTTGACTAAGTCCAAATCTGTAGGTTCCAATAGCCGAATGAAGAGGCTCAATCCACTCATTGACACTGTTGGACTCATACGTGTTGGTGGTAGATTGGATTACCTTGTAGCATCGGAAAAAAGAAGGCACCCTGTTGTACTTCCGCCTCGACTTCCGCCAAAGGGTAAAATTGTGAAAATGATATTTGAACAAATGCACTTGAAACTTCTACATATTGGGCCTCTACTTGCGAACATCCAATACTAGCTATACTGGCCCCTTCGCGAACGCCACATACCACAATTGCAATATTTGTTTCCGTGCGAAACCTAGCATGTTACACCCTAAGATGGTATCTATTCCGCGAATCAGGATATCTGTTCAAAGATCATTCTTCCGTACAGGTGTTGACTTCTGCAGGCCAATATTTATAAAAAGTGGAATAAAGCGAGTCAAGTCCATCAAAAGTTACATTTCCGTGTTTGTATGTTTCAGCACTCGTGCAGTACATTTAGAACGGATCACTACCTTTTGTTCCACAAAACCTTTGTTCCACGATATATTTGTTCCAAATTAATTAAGGTCCAAATCTTACCTTTTGTTCCACAAAATATTTGTTCCGATGGACTTTTGTTCCGCAAAACATTTGTTCCTATGGACTTTTTTCCATAAACCATTTGTACCAATACACTTTGTCCCATAAATATTTGTTCCAAAAAACGTTTGTTCCAAGTGTTCCTAACCGCTCCGCAAATCGAAAATATCCCCCGACTTGCTGTGCAACACCTCCCCAAGTGGGTCACAGGGTTGAGTAAATTGCATTTTTGTTGCACCGAGCCACCAATTTGAAAAAAACATCGTACAGTGATGCGGTGCAAGCGGCACTCGTCGCTACGCTCCTCGGCGCCGTCGCTCCGCTCCGCAAATCGAAAATATCCCCCGACTTGCTGTGCAACACCTCCCCAAGTGGGTCACAGGGTTAAGAAAATTGTTTTGTGGAACAAATAGTACTTAAGAGGACGCCACACGGGCAAACGAAACCATGCAATGACCAAGAGAATGCGCTGTTAGGTGTTTTCGTGATCCGCAAGCACGCGACGTTTAAGCCGCGCCCACTACTCACAGCCGCGTACCGACCGACGCGTTGTCGAGTTCGGGAGCGTTGTTTATTATCTTATGAACGTTCGTCCGTGACATATCTCGTCGAAATAAAATTCATACACGTAAATGCATTGCCGCCATATTCGCTCTTATACCTACACTAACAATCTTTTAATTAAAGCCGCTGTCAGCCCAATTGTATACCTATTTGTATATAACAATATTATGTTGGCTAGAAAATCTAGTTTTTACCGTACAAATTGTTGTACAAACATTTTAAGTATTCGAGTTAACAATATTTTACGTACAATAACTTACGATTTACATTTAGTTTGTAAAAATATCAATATAGACATACCAATTATGTATTTAATTTTTATCTTACTAATATTTTCGTATGTATTACCATAATACCGTTGACTATAATAAATATTATTATTTTTATTATTCAATGACAATAATATAACATTGACGCTAAACCAGCGAAAATACCGTACAAAAACATTCCAATTTTGTTCCAATAATACGGCTAAGTAAATGGTTTTAGAGCAAAATACCTCAATTAAAAGTTGTAGAGGAGTTATATCTGGTGACGTATAAGACTCGATTTTTGATATTTTAATTTTTTTATACCAATTATTCATAAGTAAAAAAGTGAAAATAACTGAAAACGATTTTATCGATTTTGAGAATGAAATATTGAAAATCGATTCTTATACGTCACCCTGTATAACATTTCTTCTTACATTTTAATCAGCCATAAATAAACTACTTGAATTTGATTTACACTTACTGAGTTGCAATCTAAGAAAGTAAAAAATAAAAAACCATTCAACTTGTCTAAATTATATTCAAATATTTTATTAATTTTTTTTATAATCATTTTTTTTTTATGTGATCTGGTTCTCGAATATCTGATTTCAGCATTCTTTTAGGGAATTGTGGATCAATAATTTCGGGTAATAAAGACTTCATATAAAACCTTAAAGTATAAAATATAATATGTTGATAAAATAGATAAAATATAATATAAATATATTATAGGTAAAATAGATAAATCATGATTCACTAGTAATCGTGACTCGTGTATTCGTGTGAAAGATTATCTAATTACTCAGAGTGTACAAATTATTAAAAAAAAAAAGGACTCACGTTTGTAGCGGTTCAGACATTTTAGAATCCCAAAAGTATTCGACCAGTACGGTGGGATTTTTAGATTCTGAGTGAAACGATGAATATGTATTGATTTTACAATGATGTGTGTTTTTATATTTTTATATTTTTTTATTTTTGTGTCTGTGTACACGATAAGTAGTCGAAATAATGCTTCGATTTTCGACTTCAGTATCTTGTTCGATTGGAAAGTGAATATCGTTGGTGCATTGGGGAGGTCAAAATTTAAAATTCCCAGTAATTTTCAAAAGCTCCAAGAAAAACAAAAGAAAAATTAAGGAAAAACTGGAATTTTTACGCAAAATCGATTTTTCAGAAAATTGAATTTGGTTTTTGGTGTAACTTTAAAACAAATGACCGTAGATACATGAAATTTTCACTGGTTGTTTATATTTGCATTTTTTTAGTTTTTTTTCTAGAAATATCAATAAAATTTTATTTGTTGGTTAAAAAAACTTGAAAATTTAATAGAAGGCTCCAAGTATATTGTTTCAAAGGCAGATGAAAAATATTAAAAATCCTTAGTCACAGTTTTTTTTTATAAGCATTTAAAGTACAAAATTAACAAAAAATGGAAAAATCACGAAAATTAGCAAATTATTTTGAGTTAAGAATTCGTAAAAATTTTTCTTTTTAAATCTAAGATTTGAAAATGTAATACAAGATTCCTTATAAGGTTATCTACCTTTATCAAAAAAAAAAATGTCTATAAGAAAGTCAAATTAAATTTTTATGAGCGTTTGAAATTCAAATTTTTACAACATTGTATATTCACTCGATTTCTCATGTAGCGATTTCCTTATTTTGTTGTAATTCAAAAACGAATAACTATAGATACATGATAATTTTACTGAATGTTCAGATTAGCATTTCCTATACACTGTACAATTTTGAAAATATTTCGACTCTTTTTGAGCTGTTTTCAATTTTTTTAGTTTTTTTTTTCTATAAATATCAATTAAGTTTTATCTGTTGGGCCAAAAAGTGTAAAAATTTAATGCAAGGCTCCTGATATATTGTTACAGTAGCAATTGAAAAATATTAAAAATACATAGGCACAATTTTTTTTTATAAGCATTTAAAGATCGAATTTTGATTTGAATTGACAGATTTATTTTTTCTTTAAAATTTCCTCTTTGCCTTATAGAAAATTTCAACGTTTATTACATATTACCGATTTACATTCCAATAAATGAACATGGTCAATTTCTCCATATGACTAAAAATTCTATGTATTTGTTAATGGACAAAATAATGACCAAATATTTTATTTGGCCAGATTTAAATAACTGTAAAGTACCTAGTGGATAAAATATTTGTTTGTGGATTTAATGAATTTATACATAATTGTGACACGGACCCCACATGTGTAACAGAATTACTAAAAAATTCTGTAACTAAATCACCTCAATGTTATACTTATATCTCTGAATTCAAAACAGAAATGTGGTATCCCTGATTTTTCAAAAATCATTGGTTTTTTGTATGTGAAAAACCCACTACAATTACTATAATTTGTAATAAACAGTCTTTCACTCAAAAAATTAAAATTAAAAGTTCTGGAAAGTTATACTTGAAATCTGGGTGTATTGCTGCTTACACCTCGAAAAGTGTACTAAAAACTGAACAAGTATTAAATCAAACATCATATTTCTCAGTTCCAGTAGACTTATCTCTTACGAATGATTCATGCTGTAATGTATTCAATTTTTCAAATCAGGCCTATCCCAAACCGATTCACTTCGATGAAATAAAATATATAAAATTTAATAAAAAAAGCGTTCAATAAAATAAATAAACAATTAGACCAACAAGATATGTTACTAAATTCGCTTATTGTAGATAAAACGTATGGATTTATATACACAAACAAATATTTAGTTGTCATAATAATAGTTTTTTTATTATATTTTATAGCAAAATGTTATTTAAATAGGAAAGCAAAAAAATCAGCTATAGAAAACATTAATTTAAGTTATAATCCTTCCAAGTTCTAAAAATTAATTTAGTAAAGGTTCTTAGTACGTATTTATATTATCTTATTATATATTATTATATAATTGTCCACAACATTTATATTTTTTTTTCGGAAGTCAATAATTAGCAGTGGCGTATTTACGGGGGGGGCCCGGACCCCCCCCCCCCCCCCCCCATTGACTCGTGTCTCGTACATGTTAAATGTTGTGCAGTTTTTACATGATTAAAAAACAAATTTTATCATACTATTTTACGGTTTTATAAAAAATTTTCGAAGCTATAGTTGGTATATCAACATTTTCAATAAATATCTTGATTATTTTTATCAGTTGGATACCGAAAATGGTTGAAAAATACAAAGTTCATTTTTTAATTCAAATATTTTGTAGTTTTGTACATTGCCAGTATCTACAACCACTCCAGAGAGATCTTTTTCAACCTTTTTAAGGTTGAAAAGCTATCTAAGATCAACTATGAATGAAGTAGGTACCTAATGTAATATTAAGGAAATATTTGTATAAAAGTTATAACATAACTATATATTCGATTCTGAGTTATCTATTGGTTTTACAATGGTGTTTATTTATTTTTCCTGTATACAAAATTTCTTCCAGAAAAAGTGCTTCGATTTCAACATGTATAGACATATAGTAACTTATCTTTTAGAAAATTGGATCAAGATAGTACTTTAGAGAGGTCATTTTTCGATTTTCTCAATAGTTATTTAATGCCACTGTAAAAACCACCAAAAAATTACGAAAAACCGCTAAAAATGGGATTTTAATTTCTAACACGTAACTTTGTCTATCACTATAGAAAAGAATAAAAAAATAATATTTCATTATTAATTCAACTTACAGGCTATAATAAATAATAACAATATAAGACTGACAAACCGTCTTCGCTCAGAATCGTTTTTCTTATACAATGATATTATGATATTATATCATTGAGTTCAAGTTTAATAAATCCATTATATTATACATTGACCCACTTGTAACCTACTGTACAGCAGCAGAGTGACATCCACTTAAACGCTTTTTATTAAATTTGTTTTGTACATATTATTATTTAATAATTAAAAACTCAAAAATTTTATATCGTCTTATAAATATGGTATATTTTATTTTTAAAGAGTAAATGGGTGGTGTGTGGGACTTCGTCCCCCGTGGCTCTGTGTTCTGAAAATTATCTGGACCCTCCCCATGACAAATTCCTAAATACGCCACTGAATTAATTAGTATGTATGTATTTTGTTTATCTTACTTTTTTTCTACACTTATATATTGTATAAATATATTTTATTTTATAACATACTTTAATAAAATTGTTCAAATATTCAAATGTATAATAATATGTATAATTGTATTGAAATAAATAACCTTTATAAATTTTATTTTATTTGTTACTTTTAAACTTTTAAAGTAATTACTAATTTGTACAGTTGTGTTGTAACGGTATCTAATACACTAATTATTTGATGAGATAAGTTTTAATTTTTATAAATTCTTATATTTTTAACACAATAAATAATATATATTATATAGAAATTATGTTTAAATGTTTTTGAAGAGGTTTTTAATTTTTATAGATGTTTTATATTACATATAGGACTCGATTTTCGATATTTCATTTTCAAAATCCATAAAATCGTTTTGCATTTTTTGTTTTTTGTTTTCACTTTTTTGATTTGTGAATAATTGGTATAATAAATTAAAATATCAAAAATCTAGTCCTATACGTTAACAGATTTAACTCTCCTCTATAACTTTTATAATAGGTTTTTTGCTCTAAAACAGTTAGCCGTGTTTTTGGAACTAAAAAAATAATTTTTTTCTCACAGCCGCGGCTGTCACGGCAATACGGTAATGTAAGGACGGTTGCGGGCATCGTAATAAATCGAGCATAATTTTATTTTGTTTTATTTCACGTAAATAATAATAATATGAAAATAATGCAACGACCGGCGAAGCGCGGACCGCCGATAACAGACCGGTTTTGACCTGTCGGCGGCGAGCGCGCCTGAATGTCAGAGCTAGGAGGGGGGGACAAACGCTGCCGCTAGAAACGACAGCAGCACATGACGGCCGCAATTAAATTTTTTTTCTGTAAAACATGCCAATTTTGTTCCAATAATACGGCTTACTGAATGGTTTTAGAGCAAAATACCTTTATTAAAAGTTGTAGAGAAGAATTATATCGGGTGCGTGTCGAGACTCGATTTTTGATATTTCGTTCTCAAAATCGATAAAATCGTTTTGCGTTTTCACTTTTTTTCACTTTTTTACATGTGAATAATTGGTATAAAAAATTAAAATATCAAAAATCGAGTCTCGACACGCACCCGATATAACTCTTCTCTACAACTTTTAATAAAGGTATTTTGCTCTAAAACCATTCAGTAAGCCGTATTATTGGAACAAAATTGGCATCTTTTTGTACGGTATTTTTGCCCGTGTGGCGTCCTCTTAAAAAAAAATAATTTTTGTTCCAAAAAAAAATATTATTAAGATCCACAAATAATTTGTTCCAATTACTATTTGATCCGCAACATATTTGTTCCAATAATTATTTGTTCCACGAAATATTTGTTCCAATTACTATTTGTGGAACAAATAATACAGGCCCCATTTAGAACTAGTCTCAGGATTATCATCAGTGTTTAGCAAGAATGTTATCATTATCATGTAATCAATTTAAAATACAGTCCACTGCACTTATCACATTTAAAAACTAACCTCCAATTTAGAAAAATGTGAATTATTGCATGTCAAGCCTAGTCGGGTTATGTCGCCGAGACAGTTATGTTTTTTTGTTGAACTGTTTTAAATAAAAGGAACAAAACCTACACCATTTTTTTTGCATCTACCTTTTTTTTCCCAGCATTTAATGGTCAATTCGAGCAGGATATGAATTCGAGATTTGTGCGCGTTACATTCGCGTATACATCGTTCGTCGGTTTCGTACGCGTTACATTCGCGTGTCCGACGGTCATATTCTAATTATCGTGCGCGTTACATTCGCGTGTCCGACGGTCATATTCTAAGTGTCGTGCGCGTTACATTCGCGTATACATCGGTCGTCGGTTTTCGTACGCGTTACATGTGCGTTTCCGTCTGTGTCGTGCGTTGTACAATCGCGTAATCGGCTTTCCGTCTATTTTGTATTGACTTACCTAATTGATTCAAGATGGAGGAGAAGTTGACAACTTTACGAAAAACTCTCTCAAACAAGGAAAAGCTGATAAGGAAAAAGTTACACATAGTCACCACATTGACAATGGAGGGACTGGCGAGTCACGAAATAAAAGTGCATTTAGAACTTGCAGAAAGTGCGTTTACAACGTATGCAAATGCACACGATGAGCTGTCCTTGTTGGTCGAGGACTCTGAGGTTGAGTTAATGATTGACGCGTCATTGACTTGGAAGAGGTATCTCGGACGTTCATTAAAATCAAGGGGATTTTGCAAAGTACATTAGACTTAAGGCAAACTACACACGAACCTCAAAACGAAAATGCACTTAGCGAACAAGGGCAACAATCCATCAGGTTACCTCCCATGAACCTGCCTACATTCACAGGAAAATTGGAAGATTGGTATGCTTTCCACGACCAATTTTCATCTGTTATTCACGTTAATAAATACATTGACAACACCAGAAAAATGCACTATTTAAAATCATGTTTATCAGGAGAAGCGGCTAATGTAATTGCATCATTATCATCGACTGGTAACAATTATCTGGAGGCTTGGTCTTTGTTGACAAACCGTTATGATAATGAACGTCTTGTTCTACAAGTACACTTACAACATTTGTTCAATCAACCACACATTCAGAGTGAAGCTGTTAGCTCCTTGAAGGCATTGGTTGATACAACAAATAAACATCTTAGAGCATTAAAAGTATTAAAACAACCCACTGAGTCTTGGGATACAATTATAATTTACCTTATATCATCCCGTTTACCAAGTGAACTCAGAAAAGCATGGGAAATTGAATCATCTGCCTATGAGTCTCCATCTTGGTTACAAATGTGTACATTTATGGAGAAAAGAATACACGTGTTAGATTTATTACAACTACAATCATCCAGTACACCCAGATCTAAGCTTACCAACAAGTGCAACAGTCGAGCAACAACTCATGCTGTGACTGCAGCACAAGGTAATAAGCAGCCGTGCAATATTTGTTCACAGCATCATATTATTTATCAGTGTAATTTATTTATGAAGTCAACAGCGAGTGAGCGACATGCATTGGCTAAGAAGGCCAAATTGTGTATAAATTGTCTACGGGCCTCACATTCTTCCAGTCAATGCTCATCTGATAAAACATGTAAAGAATGTGGTGGTAAACATCATACACTTTTACATTTTGGTGACTCTAAGGGAGAAAACAATACTTCTGAAGTGCCCACGTTGACTCTCAAGACACAACCATCGACATCTAGTGGAATAGACACTGTGGCAGTTAATCATGGTGCCTTAAGAGAAAAGTCAACGGTCATATTATCAACAGCAGTGGTGCGCGTGTACGGACCATGTGGACGGTCAGAACTATGCCGTGCATTAATAGACACTGCATCTGAATCACATTTCATTACTAAAGCCTTAGCAAGTCGGTTAGGTTTAAAAACATTGCATCAGCCAATGATAATTGATGGTGTATCAAATGCTTCTACAACCACATCTCAAGTTTCCACGTTCAACATTTCTCCTAGGACAAATGGCAAACAAATGACGTTAACTGCCTTAGTGTCTCCTAAGATAACTGTGGATCTACCCACTGCAGCCGTGGATGTTTCACAGTGGACTCATTTAGAGCAGGTTGAGTTAGCCGATCCAACATTCCATGTGCCCAACAAAATCGACTTACTCATAAGTGCTGAATACAGTCTGGATATAATGCTCGATGGTAAAATACAAGGACCCAAAGGTACGCCGTCGCTACACAACTCTATCTTTGGGTGGATAGTATGTGGAAAATTATCTAAACCCCATAATGAACTATCAATGTTTAAGTCGGTCACGTGTTGTACCACGACAGTTGAATCACTTGTGAACCGATTTTGGGAACTGGAAGAGGTACCACGCCTCACATGTATGTCCAAAGAAGACCAACAGTGTGAAAAGCATTTTGTTGAGACATTTACGCGAGACAGCTCTGGTCGTTACACTGTCAGACTTCCTTTTGTAAAAGAACCACCGCTAGTGAACAATTCTTACCAGCTCGCTGTTCAACGCTTAAAGAAAGTTGAGAGAAGTCTGCAGACCAAACCTGCCTTACACCAACTCTACAAAGATTTTATGAGTGATTATGTAACAGCCCATCACATGACATTAGTAGAGTCCACTAGTCCAAGTCCGATTATATTCATTCCACATCATCAAGTTTTAAACCCATCCAGTACGACTACGAAGCTTCGTGTTGTGTTTGATGGTTCATGCACCATGGACACAGGAAACTCATTGAATGAACTACTTCACAAAGGACAAAAATTACAGGAAGAGGTAATTGACATATTAATCCGTTTCCGTCTACCTCGCTATGTTATTACCGCAGACATTCGACAAATGTTCCGACAAATCTTAGTACACCCCGACGATCGTGTCTACCAAGGTATTGTCTGGCGTCCAAATGAATCTAGTCCAATAAGAAGTTATACCTTAAATACGGTGACGTATGGGCTTATCACATCACCATACCATGCTTTACGAGTCCTGAAGCAATTGGCCTACGACGAGCAAGGGACTCATCCTGAGGCAGCTGCGGTGCTACAGCGAGATTTCTAAGTGGATGAGGTAATGACCGGACGAGATGACATTACTGCCACAATCAAGCTACACCAGGAGCTACTACACTTGCTCGCCCGAGGTGGGTTTGAACTACGTAAGTGGGCCACCAACTGTGAAGCAGTTTTAACGCACATTCCGACAGCACTAAGAGCCACTCAACTAACGCTGATCGACCACATGGATCCGTCAATCAAAATATTGGGTATATCATGGAATGCTCAACGCGATACGTTCTCATTTCATGTTGAATCTTCCAAGGTTGGTGAAACATGTACTAAACGCTCATTACTTTCGGAAATCGCGAGGATTTTTGATCCGTGTGGATGGTTAAGCCCACTTGTGATCGTTGCGAAGATCATTATGCAACACCTGTGGAAGAACAAGTTGGATTGGGACGACCCGCTGCCTGACACACTGATCAAATGGTGGTCGGATCATCGATCTTCCTACGGTGCTCTTCGCTTCTTTGAATTACCACGGCATTGCAATGACGAACACACTCAGGTAACCACATATAGTCTACACGGTTACAGTGACAGTTCGGAACAAGCTTATGCTGCTGCTCTCTACCTAGTGTCAGTGTTTCCTGACGGTAAATCATCATCACATTTAGTTCTGTCTAAGACCAGAGTTGCACCTCTTAAGACCCAATCAATACCCAGGCTTGAGTTGTGTGGTGCCACGTTGTTAGCATCCTTGACCAAACACCTATTAGAGGCACTGTCTACAATCAACATAGAATCAGTCAACTTGTGGACGGATTCTACAATCACTCTACAGTGGATTCAGAGTGATCCACACCGGTGGACTACCTTTGTATCCAATCGAGTGAGTCAAATTCAAACCTGGTGTCCCTCAGCGGTGTGGCGGCATGTCCCGTCTCAGGACAATCCTGCGGACCTGGCCTCCAGGGGCCTGTCAGGTGATCAACTTATTACAAATGCCTTGTGGTGGCATGGTCCACAATGGCTATTACCCCCCAATCCATGGCCACAGTCTACGTTTGAATGTGAGGATCCAAATCAAACTCTCCAAGAGGAACGTAAGCCACAGGTAACTACACATGTGACCACAGAAGCTGACGCGTTTAACTCCAACTTGCTAGCTAAGTACTCGGATTTGAGTAAGTTATTGCATGTCACTTGTTACATTTTACGTTTCTATCACAACTGCCAAAAACCTGTAGCTCTTCGTCTAACTGGATTACCAACTGTGTGTGAATGGCGATCATCCAACTTAAAATGGATCCGGTTAGTACAACAGGAATGCTTTCCACTCGACCTTCATCAGCTGCGACTGGGTCTCCCCGTCAAGTCATCCAGTACTCTGGTCAGCCAAAACCCCTTCCTTGACATAGCAGGGGTCTTACGCGTTGGTGGTCGACTCACTCAGTCTAGTTTACCTTATGACATGAGGCATCCAGTTCTTTTACCAAAGGCACATCTGTATACAACTATGGTAGTACGCTCCATCCACCTTCTGCACCAGCATGCTGGTCTCAATGTCACTATGTCTCTGGTGCGGCAGAAGTATTGGGTTGTGCACGGGCGCAGCATCATCAGAAAGGTTCTTCATGATTGTGTTAAGTGTTACAGATTTCGACAAGTCAAAACCCACCAACTCATGGCTGACTTACCGGCTTTTAGAGTTAATTACGCACCAGTGTTCAGCCATTGTGGAGTTGATTTTGCCGGACCTTTCAGTACTAAGCCCTCAGTTGGACGTTCAAGAATTGTGTACAAAACATATTTAGCTCTCTTCATTTGCCTGACCACCAAGGCTGTACACCTAGAAATAGTGAGTGACTTGTCAGCCGATACCTTCATCGCCACACTGAAACGTTTTGTTGCCAGACGAGGCTATCCAACTAAAATGTACAGTGATAATGGTACGAATTTTACTAGTACACATCATAAACTACATGAAGTGTATAAATTGCTGTGCTCTCAACAATTGAACTCAGCCCTGAATACTTTCTGTTTGCCCAGAGAGATAGACTGGCACTTTATCCCACCAGCTTCGCCACATTTTGGTGGTATTTGGGAAGCTAACATCAAATCTTGTAAACGCATACTCCAACGCATAACTCTAAATAGTGTCTTTATATATGAAGAATTACACACATTGTTTTGTCAAGTCGAAGCGCAACTTAACTCTCGACCACTTTGCCCCGCCAGTATGGAAGCCACCGATTACTCAGCACTGACTCCCGGGCACTTCCTGTTAGGTAAAGCTCCTATGTCATTACCTGAAGTCGACATTCCTGAGCCAACACCCACCAATCGACTCACCAGGTGGAATAGAATACAGAAAATGCAGCAGTCCTTCTGGAAACAATGGTCGCAAGATTATTTGGCTACACTACAGCAACGGAATAAATGGACCACTCCCCAGCCTAACCTCCAAGTCCACGATCTCGTTCTCCTCAAGAAAGAAAATATGGCTCCCACTCAGTGGCCCCTAGCCAGAATCCTCGAGGTGCACCCCAATCCTGCAGACCACTTCGTGCGAGTTGTCACACTGAAGACAAAGGATTCGGTGCTAAAGCGTCCTATTAATAAACTCATAAGACTGCCTATCGAACATTAGTTAACTGGTTAAAGCCAATTAATTCAATTATTCAATTATTTGTTTTGTTATTAATCAAGAAATTTTGTGTCACCTTATGTGAATTTTATATTGTTATGATACTATAGTTTATACTCTGTTGAAATCTATCTGTAACTTACCCATTATGCCATTTTTACAAATGTTTAAATTATCTATTTATTTATTCCACTTCCTTTTGAGAATACCTCTCAAGGGGGCCGGTATGTTTAGCAAGAATGTTATCATTATCATGTAATCAATTTAAAATACAGTCCACTGCACTTATCACATTTAAAAACTAACCTCCAATTTAGAAAAATGTGAATTATTGCATGTCAAGCCTAGTCGGGTTATGTCACCGAGACAGTTATGTTTTTTTGTTGAACTGTTTTAAATAAAAGGAACAAAACCTACATCATTTTTTTTGCATCTACCTTTTTTTTCCCAGCAATCAGATGCCTTTATAGTAGCTTTAACCCGGTTCATCTCTTCATTTACACAGTGACAACGGAACCAATTTCATTGGCGCAAATCGGGAGTTGTCCTCTTACTTCAAAGCAGAATCTGGAAAGCAAACCGTAATCGAAAATATAACACAACAGGGAGAGACTTGGCATTTCAACCCGGCATCTGGGAGTCAGCAGTCAAATCAGCAAAGGCCCACTTAATTAAGCTGACAAACAATATGCTACTGACATTTGAAGTGACCACCACTTTGCTCTGCCGCATTGAAGTCGTTTTAAACTCAAGACCATTAACACCTAATCATCCTTCAGACTACAAAGCCCTTACACCTGGGCACTTTCTTGTAGGAGGTCAGTCAGACTCACCTCAATACCTCAGAATATATTGCGTCGGTTTTCACTTGTTGTGGGCGATCTAGTTATTGTAAAGGAGGAAAACTTACCGGCACTACATTGGAAGTTAGGTCGTGTCTTGACTGTTCATCCTGGAAATGATAATGTGGTGCTTGCTGTCACCATCCGAATGGGAAACGGATATGTATACAAACGTCCTATAGCCAAGCTTGCCCTACTACCAACAGTCAATGATGAAGAGGAAGAAGAACATAATTTACAACAACTATAGTATCATCTCAAAAGTTTAAAATTCATTTATTTATTATTTTGTATTTATTGTTTAAGATAGTGTGTCTAGCCGTCTAAGGCTCAAGTCATTTATTATTATCATTATGTAATTTTTATTTGTGTGTATAGTCAAAGACAGTGTGTCTAGCCGTGTAAGGCTCAAGTCTTTAGTATTATTATCATGTTAGTCGTTTATTTTGTACTCCAGTCATAGATCTAGTATGTTTATTGTCGTTAAGGTTATTGATGTGCTAGTGTGATCTTATTTGTTTGTTCATGTGTAATGTTCCAATATTATGTCATAGGGAAATCAGCATCATCATTAAACGTGTCTAGTGAGCTTTGAAAGGACCACATCCTTTCAAAGGGGGAATATGTTTGCACTGCAAACAAATTTATGTTGTGTATTTATGTTATCATTTTCATGTGCACGTATCGGTGCGTTCCACAGTTGCAGCCTTCGTTGGCGGACGTTTATCAGGCATTCGTGTGCGACCGGCCAGCTGTGGAATCATTATCAATGTTTTCGTTGTATTTGTTTATGTTCAAAACTTTAAGTTTTTTTTTCGTGTAGTCATGCTTTCAAGTTTCAGTGTCATGAAGTTCATAGTTTTTCCGTTGGTTATTGTTTTAGTGTGGTGACACTGAAGGACCGTTCGTTTTATGTTTTTTCGTTTTTTGTACTCGTTGCTGAGCAGTTCAAGCAACGTCATGGTTGTTTCATCATTTTTGTCATGAGCTGTTTGCAGTCGTCCCAAACCACGTTGTTGTGAATTTGTGATTAAGTTTCTGATAATTATCGTTCTCAGCAATTTTTATTGCCATCACTAATTTGTTGTTCCTAGTATAGGGTGGTCAAAATGTACAGAGATTTGTGTTGTGGTTCAACGTGATTTGGTGTACCTCGTTGCTCGTGGTTACATTAGTGCGAACACTAGAGATTCTGTTCCGGCTGCATTCAGTGTGTTTTTGTTAGTGAAGTCATCGTCAACATTTGGTGGCACACATTCACACGTACGCATGGTCAATTTGTTTTTTATTGTAACTTATTGACATACTTACAGGCCCTGGTGCGGTAACTTGGGTGTAAAACCAGGTGTGTGTCTCAACTGTTATGTGAGTATGTATGACCGACAGGTCCTAAAGTATTATATATTACATTATTATGTTCTGGTAGCTGTTAAGGCATATTATTTATCATTTATATTCCGTTAGTATATTACAGCCATTCAGGCCTTTGGTCAATTATATATTATTATTTATCATTATTCATTGTATCATAGCCAAAGAGGCAATTGAAATTATATTTTATATTGTTATTGTTATTATTATTGTTGTGCCAAATAGGCAATTAAATATTTATTAAATTATACAGTCCACATTATTTTATATACCTACAAGGTTGTTCATTATTATTTTGGTCACCTTATGCGTTAACAAATATGGTGGAATAATTCCCCCCTCCTATAAAACATCCTTGCAGTGGCGTGCTCAGCTTTTACCTATGGGAGGGGATGAACAAATACAAACACTACATTTTTTTTTTGAGTAAACCGAAATTATTAAAGAACTATAAATTACGCATAAAAAAAAAAAAGTTCATGGGTGGGATATGACACCTTCATCTCCCCCGTGAGCACGCCCCCTGTATCCCTGCATAAGAGAGTCTGGAATGTTATAGTTTGAACATCTGTGGACTGTTATCTGTCGAAGCCCGAAGGTACAAGCCGGCAGGACATCACCGTCTGTAACTATTAATGGTGAACAGTGAACACTGTTTCCTTTCACTTTTCAAATATACCACGAGCGGCAGCACGACAACTCCAGCACTATGTTTATGTTGCTGCAATATTGGCCGTACGTCGGGTACACACAACGGGTCTCGGGGGTCAGCGCTCGTTTTTCGTTGCTGCCACCCTTATAATATTTATAATATTATGGTCACTTTGACTGAGCAGTGTAGTTATACTAACGTTATATAGTAATATGTAGTGTAATGTAGTTGCCGGCCTAAGACATCTGCCGACTGGAATGCGAGCGCTCTAGTCACAAGTCGTGCAACCCTCCCTTCGAGTCTACCACCACCGACTACCCTAAACTTGTATTCAAACAATTTTTCACTGCCGAAGCACCCGCCGACCGCCGCCCATGCAAGAAAGTGATCGAACAGTGCCGGCAATAATTTATATATTTTATTGAAGGGCCATTGAAAGCGGGTAGTTTTTCGTGCATTTAGACCAATAAGCGGAAGAAAAATTCACCCAGTACAAAAAGACCGATTTTAATTTTGAAAACATTTAAATGCCTTTGTCTCTTTTCTATGTTATGAAGAAATGATATCGATTTTTTTTTTTTTAGTTACAACCATGATAGTCGTGAGCAGAATTTTTTAGAGGGAATTTTAAAAAAGTAACTCCCTAAAAAAGCTTAATACAAATAATTCGCCACATTATATAATGCAAAAAGAAATTTACATGAATTTTATTTAGCTCATTTATTTGCTTTACTCCGTCAGTAAAGAAAATCAAGTAGTACCTAGTATAAAATTAATAATTAATATAATATATAATTATTGAAAATAATAATAATAATTATAATAATAAATAGTCGTCCACATTAAAATATAATATAAATAATAAATTTGACATAAAATATATCAAAGTTAAGCCAAAAATCAATAAAAATTGAAAACTACTAATAACCTAAGTCCTTTTTTTTTTTTTTTTTTATTATTTCAAATCATCATAACTTACAAAAATTAATTATAAAAATTATTCATGATTATCATTTATCTATCTCTTTTAAGCTAAAAGCTTGTGTTAGACATAGAGAGTAATACAGTCTTAATAGTAATTATAAACATAAATATAAGTATATAACAAATTAAAAACAAATAAAAGGAAACAAGTATAATATACAAATAGTAATCAAATTAAATACAGCAGTAGATTTTGAAATATTTTAAATTATTTGAGAGAACAACCAATTATACACTAACTTTTTAGCATTATTTTCAGACAGCTGAATATTTTTTTTATACTGACATGGCATAGAGTTAAAAAACAGGTCCTAAATAGTTGACAAAAGATTGACCAAATGATTTGTATGGGTAATCAACAGGTATATTATAACGTCTATTTTCTCATTTGTCCACAAAATCTTGACCGTCAATGCCTTTATTGAAATTTTTAAAGGTGACTAGCAAATTTTTTATATAAAAATTTAACAGGTAAGACACCAAACTCTCTATAATTATGCGAGGTAGAACCTGATAAGGAATGTTTATTTAAGCAAATTCTAACTATATTATTCTGATTAATTTGTATTTGATTTAAAAAACAATCAGCCGATCCTCCCCAAATTAATAAACCATATTGAAGTATGGATTGGTACAACGAAAAATAAACTACACGCATTGTGTGTTTAGGTACCAGCAGGGCCGGTTTTAAGGGGGGCACCGGTGGGCAATTGCCCGGGGGCGGCACACTTTGGGGGCGGCAAAATTATCTCAGATAAAATAAACAAAAAATTAATTTTTTTCGTAAAGAGAAAGATTTCTAAAAAATGATATATTTTATTATTATTTATTTTTTAAATTCACATATGCATAGGTACATTTTTTTTACCTATATTTTATCATTTTAAATAAAAAGAAATAAACGTTATTAACTAAGTAGGTAGGTACCTAACATTATTAAATATTAGTGGGTTTATTAAGCTGTAAAGTTAGTAAACTGTAAAACTAGACGTATAGTATAACTGCGCGTTGGCCCGTATTGGCAAATCAGGATTAGGCATCGATTGTACTTATTTACTGGCTACTAAAATACATTTGTGTCATTTCATATTATACAACTTACTAAACTCTATATGTCAGTGACTACGTACTTCGTACCTACATAATTTAAATCT